AAAACTTTTATTCTATAATATGTGCACCCACCGGTGTTGAACCGGTGGGTGTACATATCTTTATCCTATAAATATACAATACCATGGTCCCATTTCATTAGTATGGAGATATGCGCACCCTCGAACTTGCCCAATTTTCAACGACACCATTTTAATTTAATCATCTTATGTTGCGCTCGTAACTTTCAATGGATATGTATGCCAACTCGAATGCGTGCTTGCATTGCGAAAATCGTACACTAAGTCCCAGTTAATTTCCACCTATTTTTGCTCTGATTCGTTGTCTTATCTTTGACATTAAGCACACTCTCAAACCCCAACACCCTTTCTCCTTTCAGTTTGGTCACTCAAATTTAGATTAACACTAATCTCTAAAGCAGTTTCGAACTTAAAACCCAAAGGTGCTAAGGCCTTCACCTGGCCGCTGGGTCTTCAACGACAGAAGATTTCCTATTTATCGTATATATCTATCAAAAATGAGTGCAGTGCAATATGTTTTGTATAGACTACATTTTTTATTATTACTAATAAAGAGATGAGTTTTTTCATATTAAGGGTTCATCTTTTTTATCAATTGTTAAAAAAACATAGTTCATGTAAAAACAGATCGTAAAATAACGTTTTCTATATGAATTCTATAAAATTTAATTAATTAGTGCTTAAGCATTATCTATTGTACCAAAAAAAAATATTCTACAATTTTTTTAAAAGATTTTTGTAGGGTTTTAGAGCTGCAAATCTCTCATCAGACACCGTATACATAATTTTAGTTCATGTTAAATACATGAGTTTTATGTTTTGCACTTTAGAAAATACCAAAATAAAAACAAGAATTATTGAATAGGAAAAACTTTCAATATTAAGAGTTTATCTCTATTTAATAATCTAACTTTTATAATTTAGTACAGAAACTAAACAATACTCTTTTTCTTTTTGTAAAGATATATATAATAAATTTTAATAAAAAAATATTTTACAATTTAAACTAAAAATTATAGTACATTTAAATTTTAATATTTGTTTTTTTTTTTAACATAAGAATTTTGGGAGAAAGGTGAAAATTTATAAGTGATTAATGAAAATAAAACTCTAAACCACTTAAATCTAAACTTTTAAATTTTGAACCATTAAACTAATTTTTAATATTTGGTTAAAAACTCTTTTTTAACAGCACAGGCATGGTTAATGATTAATATTATATCAATGTCAATATGTATCTACTGGATGCAATCATGCAGACATTTAACCATATATCATTTTGTCGCCTTTTAAGTGAGGAAGAAAGAGAGTCCGATTCTCTAATTTTCAACACCAGTTCCAACCCAAAATTGGCCACCATCCATCCACAAAAACTCTTCTTTCATCGCCATGACCCTCCCTTCTTCATGTGTATCCAAACACCACCTACGAATCTCACCTTCCCCAAAACTTCTCTTCTTCATCTTATCCACTTGTTGCTTCACCCTCCTCATTCTCTTTGAAATCCAATCCCTCCATACATCATCACCGTCTCCGTCAAGGTCCTTCTTTCAACAATGGCAAAACAGAACCCTAGCCCAAGATCTCAGCTCCTTGAACGAAAAGCTTCGCCTTTCTGTCACTTTCCTCCCCCTCAAGGACTTGCGTTATTCCAAAAAACCACTAGAAGGCCACACCTGGTTCATGAGCTCCATGTACGACACCCACCAAGAAGGTGAGGTCCAATACCAAGAATTTCCTTCTGAGGCATCTCATGGGAGACTGCTCTGCCTCAAAGGCCACGAGACCCATGAGGGATCCTCGAATTACTACGCTTTGGCTTGGCCGGATGCACTACCGTTCAATGCCACTCTCGTGAAGGGTTTAACTTTTGTGGCTTACAATCATTATGACTACCATAATATATGGCACAGTCTAGGGGCCTTTTTTCCGTTTGTTGCTTGGCATAAGATGAACGGGTGTGAGTCACCGGAGAGGTGGGTTCTGTTTCAGAAGGGTGAGCTACGGTTGAAGACGAACCCGTGGCTAAATACGTTAATGGGGGCTACTTTTGGAAGGGAGCCATACATCGAGGTGTTTGACTGGGTTAAAGATGAAGAGCCTGTTTGTTTCGAGAAAGCAGTCGTCATGAGGCACAACGAGGGAGGGATGTCGAGGGCGAGGAGAATGGAGGCGTATGATCTTATAAGGTGCAAGGCCAGGGTTTACTGCAACTTGAACTTAGAAAGGAGAATACCGGAGATCGGGATGACCATGCTCATGAGGACCGGAGCAAGATCCTTCAACAATGAGACGGCGGTGATAGAGATCTTTGAGAGGGAGTGTAGAAGGGTAGATGGTTGCCGGTTGATGGTGGCTTATGCTAACAATCTCACTGTTTGTGACCAGGTAAGTTTATGTAAAATTGTATTGCTTCATGATTTTTTAAATATGTTCAACTAAGTCCTTAATTTATATAAAATTAAATAGTTATAATTGATTTCTAATCTTTTTCAAATAATCTGATCGGATCCAAGCATGGTTGATTTAATTTCATCGACTTAATAGAGTAAGTCATCCTATGCACAGATTTCTAGATCTAGCTCCTTTATTTGGTTAAGGAAAATGATATACATACAATAAATTCTCATGAGAGTAATGACATAAAAATAAATTTTTTATACAATTTTTTTATATAATTTCTATATAGTTAAAATAATATGTGCGTACAATATTATAGATTTTAGCTAATAAAATAAAAAAATTAATTATCAAATAACATATAAATTTATATAAAAAATGTACAAAAAATTACTTAATTACCTTTCGTCTCACAATTATAGTTATTTTTGTTTGATTTGATGCTTTTCAACTTTGACATATATGGTTAAATATTAATATTTACTTTTGCCCCGGTAAGAGATCTCTTAAAACTATTATTTCAATGATCACTAAATTTCAGTAATGAAATAACATTATTAAAGTGTACCCAAAAAAAAATTATTAAAGTAACTCAGGAAATTAAATTTTAATCAACCTCTAGTTCCTTGCTTTCTTCAACTTTCTTTAGCTTCTTCTAATGTTAGGCAACAATCGCTTTTTCAATCTTTTAATCTTTGAAATGTAGTTTTTTTAGGTCATGTGGTGTCTGCGTGACGAAATAGGCAATGATATGGGGAATTTTGTTAAAGAAAATTATATGGAACTTTGACTGATAGGCAATTTGATCTATCGTTTTCTAAAATTTCTGAATCAGATTGAGAAAAAAATAAACCTTTTAAACCAAATTGATAATGAGCCAATAATTAATAGAACAAACATTAAATTTAGCCATTAATCAATAAATTAATTGCCTTTGTTCGCAGGTGAAGTTGATGAGCTTAACAGACATCTTAATATCACCACACGGAGCTCAATTAACCAACTTGTTCCTAATGGATCGAAACAGCAGCATCATGGAGTTCTACCCAAAGGGATGGCTAAAACTGGCTGGAGTAGGTCAGTACGTGTACCGATCCATGTCTAGCTGGGCCGGTATGAGGCATCAGGGAGCCTGGAGAGATCCCGACGGGGAACATTGTCCCTACCCAGACGATGACGGTCGATGCATGTCTGTATATAAAAATGGCAGGATAGGATACAATGAGACCTTTTTTACTGAGTGGACTCGAAATGTCCTTATTCAAGTCAAAGCAAGGAAGTTGGAAGAGGCAGCTTCAAGGGAGGACCAATCTGATTCGGCTTCTAACACTTGCCATTGTGGTTAATTCATTACGTTTAATTTCTATATGAAATTAATTTTAATGGGTTTATTTGGTAAGGAAGTTTAGTATGAGGGTTTGATTGACAAAAATAACTTATTTGAGGGGGCAATATTAAGTTTATTCCAAAAAAAAATTGTTTACGTTACCGTACAACTATGCAAGTGTCTTTGGAATTGGGAAAACCCTTCTATAAGATTCAAGTTTCAACAATTTTACCATTTGATGCCTTCATTTATGTTTATCTTTTTAGAGTGAGATTTCAGGTCAAATGATGATTAATTACCTTCTCATAATCTCTCGAAGCAAAGGCAAAATTAAAAGAGATAAAGAAATTAAATTATTGCTTTTAGATTAAAAAATG